AAACATGGCTCGTGCAGCGAAAGACGTGAAGAACTCAACCCCAATTGGCTTGACATGAAAAAAGTATGATTGGCGTGATCTCCCGCCCATCGACATTCCCGTCCGTCTCTGGCAGCCATGATCGACCGGCTCTCCTGCTGGCCAGTTTCCCTGCCCTGCCCCCTTCCTTCTCTTGCAACCACACTCAAACACCCCGTCTTCCCTGTGAGAGGTGCGTTGTCGTCTTCGAATGTCTTGGCGGGTGGTTCAGCAGGTCTCATAAGGCTGGTTGGTTTTGCGCGGCGTCCGCAGCGAGCGAAGCGGCGGCGGCGGCGGCGGCTGCTGCGCCGTGTTCAAACGTCCCCAAATTCCCTTGCCCGTCCCATCCCATCCAACGGGATGCGCTGCCGGCGGGAGTTTTGCTTTTTTCTTGTCTGAACAACGCATTGTTCTTTGCGGCTCTGCCAAGAACAACCCAAGACACACGCACCCAAGCTTTGTTCCAATCGTCTTGGCCTGGTGTTGGCGATCGATGCCGAGCCCCAAGAGATGGTCCGTTTCTACCGCTCTTGGTCTTCGGGTAGATTTCCTGGGCTATGCTGAAGTTTCCCAAGACTTCTTTTGTGTAGTATCTGCCTGGTTGAAGCTTTCTTTCCCCCAAGGACTGCCGGAGCCAAGACGTTCGCTGCGAGGTTGAAGCCTGCCATCTGCATCTTTCAATGCGACCTCGGGTCGATGTCCCAAATTCTCTGCCTTGTGATATGCCTAAACGTAGTTTTCCCGTCTGCCTTGCGGACCGTGCCTCTCTATGTCCTGTTCCAGCGGAAATTCCCCGAATTCGTGGTCTGGAGAAGACCGGTGGGCGGCGGGGATGGATTAGTGGGATGTCGCCATATACCGCCGCCGGTCACATATCACCTTTTTCGCCACAGGTGTGCTAGTAGTCAGAGAAAAGACGTCGTGCGTTGGCGTGAGGTTGCTGATACGACGTCGGAGGTATGGGACAAGAATAGGACCAAGAAGGTGTCAACCGCATTGCAGATCTGGGGGAGATGGGGGCGCGGGGTGTTCTCGCCGTGTGTCAGCGACGACGACGACGGCACCCCCGGAGCACATCAAGCTGGAGAAGCCCTGCTCGACGTTGCGGCCGACGATGGTGAGGCGGTTCGGCAGTCAAAGCTTGTGTTCTTGGTGTAACTGTCGATGTAAGAGCCCCCTCGCGACCCTCGAAGGGTGAGTGTGAGACTGGCGATGGGCGTGTCCTCCTTCCGCATCTGGGTACCTGTCTTTGATGTTGTGCTGTCGCAGGCGGTTGCACTTGTTTCTTTGTCTGCTCTCTGTTGTGGTCTATTGTGGTCGTTGGTGAAGTTCATTGGGGGAATGTGAATCTGCGACGATGTACTCACTTGACGGCCTCAAGTGAGTGGCTCTGAGACTGTGGTGGCGGTTTTCGTGGTGTCAAGTCTGTCTTGACCACATCTCTGGAGAACGTGTAGAGAAATCGTGTTGCAAAGCTGTTCCACGCGATCATACTCTATTGTCGTCAACGTTTTGTGAAATCACCGAGCCAGAGCGTGGCTCCATCGTGAGCCATCATCTCACCCCATCGCTTCTCGTCCTTCTCCATTGCTTGACGGTCTGCATCATCAATCGCTTTGTTACACTAACTACAGTCTTCTTCATCGTCTTGCGTATCGGTGCGTATTCAAAGGGGCAACTTGAGAGAAGTGTTGTCGCTGCTGACTTGTTCTCTTAGTTCAATGTACAGTCAACCAAGCCAACGAGACGACACTTGATGGGGTTGAGTAGACGGAGCACCATATTCCATCCCGATTGTCTGCATGTGTGAGACATCGTTGAGATACTGACGTACAATGCAGCTGTCGTTGAATACTAACTCAATGGCCTTCTCAGAAAGCCTACTTGGTCCCGACCCAGGTTGACTTAGAACAGACAGTCGATGAATGTGCCGCCTCTGATTGCGGATAGGCGACGAAGTCTCCTCAATTGCCTTCAGTCTGTTACAGGACCAATGTCAGCTATGTATTGCTTGTTTCGGTACACATACTTACCTCGTTCCGCTCGACTCACTGACATACGCGAGCAGTGCCTGACTTCCGGTATCAGCATCACTTCTTTCATCGGCAAGGCTAGTGATTCACACCAATGCCAGTACTTTCCGATCTCCAAACAGTCCTTGGCGCCTACGCGAGGCTGATCACAGCTATGTCAAAGGTTACGATGGTCTGCAGCTGTAGCTGCTATTGATCCGCCGACATTCCATGGAAACCCTTGACTGTCTCCTTCGCGTTTTGCAAAGCATAGCCGTCTTATCAACCTCCATACGTGTTCGTCCGGCGATAGCGCTGACTTCAAGGCAACGAATTCGTACACCTGGACGATAGTGTAGATGCGGACAACCTCGGAACACTGATGGGTGTGCACAGCTGTCTGTGATGGGCAGACTTCTTTCAGCGTGCCTGCTGAAGCCAAGCAATCTGACGTTCCTCCCACCACGTCTCCCTAAGGATTAGTGGGCGCGCTGATTAGACGGGTTTTACCTTGCCCTCACTCACATAGGCTATGTTTCATCAACATACGGCCGATGATGAATGGCGGTCGGCGTATGGCAACAGCTGCGACAGAAGGGCTTGCTCACAATGCCTATGAAGATCTAGGGCAACCGGAAATCCTGATAATCTGTCTGATGGGTACCAAGAATTGAGCCCAGAAGACAAGTAGGTCGTCATGAAATTGCGAGGACGTCTCCACAATGGTAAGATGATGTAAAATCACAGCGTCTCGTTCGTGGTGTGCCTGGACCCGGTCGGTGGAGTTCTCCTACGAGACGACTTCATTCGAAATGTGATTCTGTGGACTGGTTCATCTTTGACTATGGCGAACGAGCTTCTTGGGGCAGAAGAGCCGCAGCTCTGTCGATCAAGTCCTTGTTGGGCTTCCGCCTACGAGGTGACATTTCGGGGCCAGGCTTCATGAAGCCAAGGACATTGAGTCGCCTGACAGATTCTTCCAAAAGTCTTAGATCCCACAGGAAACGGTGTTCAAGGAGGTCCAACGTCGGAACAAGGCTGAGAGCCATCACTAGGAAGGCGCACTGGTGAGTTTCTTCGAATGGCTCACGGGCTGTCTTTCACCTTTCAATGTCCTCGAGAGTTAACTGGCAGTGAATATTGACGTTCTCGGGAGACACGTACGTTGCCAGAAGCTTGTTCGGCAAAAGTTTTGAGTCGGGGTCCTGTCAGGCGCTATCGGGACAGAACTTTGTGAGAGGTTGTGGTATTGAAGATCCCTCGCACTCTCGTAATGTTGATGATGATGTGGCGTGTCTCGTCTGTTATGTCAGTAGTCTGAGGGTCATCTGTGTTACCGATGACCCTGCCGGTAGTCGTCTTTGTAGAAGCAACGATGCCTTCCATAATGGACCAGTTGAGATGGACGCTTTCTGGTGCCCCAATCTTGCGAAGCTCATCCACCAGAGTCTGCGGATGGCACTATCCTAGCCCCTTCACACCATCCCAGGAGAATACGGCATGGGTATCTTTGTACGAAGGCCCGTCGGCTGTAGAATCGTTCGCTGGGCCAAAATCGGCGGCAATCTTCTGAGCCACTTGTCGAAGGAACTCGGTATTGTCGACGGGATAAGTGTTCCACGTCAAATCTCTGACGAAAGCGACCGGAATAGGCGCTGGTAAGTCGAAGGTCTTGATTCGGAGCTGTCTTGCCTCTGATGGGAAGAAGATGTGCACTTTCTCCTCCCAGAGTTCGGAGAGACTCAGATGACTCGGAGGGTCTGTTTTTCTCGGTCACGTCTGGTGAATATCAACGTAGCAAGTCGGAAGATGCCTACTGCGTACTCAATATCGAATTGGGCGTTCGAATTGATGCGATGCGCGTGGTCGGTGTCGGATTCCAAGCTGAGATGTGGATAGAGGGGGCATTTGGCGCCCTGCTGGTCCAGTCTGGCTTTGTAGTTCCGTACAAAGTCAATGGTTTACCCATGAATCTCTGGGCTGCCTCGTCTGAGGCTGGCCTGGTGTACAGCCAAGAGTGGGTGAAGCTGTACGATAGATCTTGTCGAGGCTCGGATGTGCGCCAGCTGAACTCTGTCGATGCGACTATTCCATGTCGCAAGGTCTTGAATGAAGCTTTCTCACCGATTGGGATCGATGCCGTCTGGTGGCTTCATTTTGGTATTGGGGGTCGGGGGACCGATTCATGGTGAAGTTGAATAGGAGGGATGATTGGAGAGAAGGGTCGGAAGTGTTTGTGATATGTGAGTGAGCGCTCACGTTGATTGCTAAGATACATCCCTATCGGCGGGCAACATATAAGGTAGCGCATACCCAAAAGCCCCGCTCAGCGAACTCTGTGGCTCCCGTCGCGATCCAGACACATCCAAGTCGCCCGCCAAAATGACAGTGTTCACTAGGTAGCTAGCTATGGACCTTAGATTTTAGGCAGGACAGCAGGCGGGGTGCTCGAAACAAAAGGCGACAGAGAATAGAAACATGCAATTGGATTCAAGTCAAAACTGAGAACAGAATCGAGACCAATAGGGCAGGTTCTCACTTCAAATACATGGCCTGCTGTGGGGAAGGTGTGAGATGGCCGTCCTGCCTGCCGTGCATGCCCTGGGACTTTGTTCTCTGCTCCCCTTTGAACGCCAAAAAAGAAGGGAAAAAAAAAACACCAAAGCAGGTATAGTCAGAGTCTTTTTACTTTAAAATTCAATTCGCGCATAAAAATTGCTGCGTCCTTGTGAAGAAGCGTCCTGGGCCTGCCTGTCGTTGACATGTCGTTGCGCTCTTGTTTATTGAGCACACCTGATTCGTCGACAGAGTGAGATCGCGGCGGTTTTGTGGGTCGTCGATCGTTTGTGGACCCGGGTCCGGCAGTGTACGTAGCGCTGCGGTACCAGCGCGCGCTGCCTTGACGAGATTCCAACTCTGTGATTTTCGAAAATTCTCTTCTCTCTTCAACATAACTCATCATACGAAAAGATGGGTGATTCTGACGACCCCCCACCAGGCGCGGCTTTGCCGTCATCTCCGCCCCCTCCTCCCTCCCCCCCAACGACTGCGACCGCCTCAGGTTCGCAAGAGCCTACGTGCTCTCCGACGGTGTCCAAAAACACCAAGAAATCAGGCGAAAATAGCCCCAAGGACCAGCCCAAGCCGAATGAGAAGCAGGGCACCGACAAGAACTCCAAAGAGTCTACCGAAAAAAAATTCTGGGCCGACCCAGACGACGAGTCAGAGGATGCGGCAGCTGCTCTCAAGCAGTTCCTCATCACCGACTATCCTCGCTTCGGCGACAAGAGTGTCTTCACAGAAGCCTACAAATCAGCGGCAGAGACTCTCTACTCGACAATAGTCTGGGGCAAGAACAACTGGGTCAACATTGGCTCCAGGTGTGCTCACTTCGGCGTCCTCCAGAGGATGTACGCCGGAGCGTGTAAGTTTCCCTTGTTCAACTACTGTTTACCGACACCCAGCCACTGACATTCTTCTCATAGCAAACATGACTCCAGCGGTGTTCCTCGCATGGATGAAAGAAAGAGGCATGGAACTTCCTCACAACGACATCAGCGACCCGTCGCGCCATTACAATGCTTGGCTGCGCAAGAATCACCCTACCCGCGTTCCCACACTGGCCGACCCCGACACCGCCAAAGCTGCCGTATCTCAAACCCAGCCCCCGCCCAAATCTTCCAAGGGCAAGGAACGCGCAGTAAGTTATCGGCGTCGACCATTATCAATCGCATTGACTAACACCTTTCACAGGTACCCGAAACGGCACCCGACACGGCACCCGCCACTCAAGGGCATGCCACGACATCTTCAACCACCGATCAATCGACTACCAATCAGACGATTGTCAGGACTACCGACGACACATCGCAACAAGGCGTTGCCGTCAAGAGACCAAACCTTCGAGAGATCCGGAACAGCTTTGGCATCCGGAAAAGACGCTGGGAGGAATCCAATTACCAGATTCGCTTCGCGAACCCGATGAAGGCCCCTTTGAGGTTCGCCTGCCTTTGGAGGCACAAGAAGAATTTCTTATCACCGGCAGAACGTTGAGGGAATGTCAGTCCCACATCAACCAGTGCCTCCGAATCGGTCGCGAGAGACGCGGCAATAATTGGTATCTCGTCATCTATGAGGCACCTAAGGACGACCCGACTTCGGGCATAAGACTACCACATTTCGTGGGTCACGTAAACGCATATTCCGAGGGCTACTTTGCGCTGCGTGCCTACAAGACTGCCCTTAATCATGGCGCTCGACACCAAGTTGGGGACTACTTCAAGATGTACTTCGATCACCAGAAGAATAGCATCAGAGACGCTTTGATGGCACTGGACCAAGGCATCTTGAAGGCCAACCAAGCGAATGTTGCAGGCGCGGCTGCCCGACAAGAAATGATCGAAAGGATCACAAATGACGTATTCCAAGCCCGCCAGACTACCAACAACTTGATTGGAGGCCAGGTGCCCCATGGCCTTATGATGCGGCCAGGTGCTGGCGGAGGGGCTGCACGACCGCAGCCGGGTGACAACCCCCCAAGGAAGCGAGCGAGACACCAATAGATCAATAAAAGATCGTTGCTTACATTCTTCGTCTTTGAATTGTATTGTTGCGACTTTGTGATATGTTGATGGTGTGCGCCCCGAGGCAGTTGATGCGCTGTGATTTCTGCAGTTTAAACGGATTGGTGCTCTGTTGCTCGCATTGGTGTCTCTCTGAGGCTCGATAGTGTGATATGATACCGACAGTCGCTTCATTCCCTGGAATAGACCAGCTTATCCCCTTCGAGTTTATAACTCAATGTATCGCGGTGCAGTCTGGCAAGGTGATGCCGCGGGTCGACCCAGATGCTCGCCAACTCGTCACGAAATGTCCCAGGTATGCGCAGATACTTCTCGACCGATAACGGTGGCATAGATGAAAGCTGGGGCTCTCTTCTGCCTTCCATACAAGTCGAGGAACTCTTCTTGTGCGATGGTCAAGTGGCAGCATCAGGTGGAGGTGTGTTCAATGGTCAGTTTGGTGAACATGGAGATTGTGAGGCTCTTGAGTCAGCTTACCCGGCGGGCACGGTGGCAGATGCATACTGCAAAACCCAGAGTGTATGTATGGAAGATAAATTGGCGTGAGATGTGTTGTTTTGAACTGTTACGGTGTCGAATCCTGCTTACCTTCCATAGGACAACCATGGCGCTGCTCGTCGTCCGAAGCCTTGTTTGCTTACAGACGTCCAGTGCGATGCCTCGCACGTGGCTATGGCCATGGTACGCTCAGAAATTTGGGTGGAACTTACAGAATCGCTCAATGTTTTCCGTTGGGAACCCCTCCGAGAATTTTGAGAGTTCCCAGGCCAGCCACGCCTTCCAAGGCATTTATCTAGTGTTAGTCACCACCGGGTGCCTTCTGTGGCTGGCCATCAGCGACTCCCTGGGAGGGACGTGACTGACTGGAAGCTCTGCACAGCGCTCCTGAGGGTCGCTCAACGACGCAAAGTATGAGATCGTTCGTTCAACAACTGAGAATACCTGCGTCGAGAGCCCAGGTTGGGCAACTTGGTTTGAGTCTGCTGAACCTTCCAGCCAGACATTATCTTGCTCCAGGAAGGAGTCATTGTCCACTAGATGTACAAAGGCACCGCCCAACAGATCGCTTAGAGCGTCCGCTGCTGTTGTGCCCTCTTACTGACTCAAGCGTGCGTGGCCTACAGTATGGATGTCGAGTCCATGATATCGCCACAAAGGAAATCTAAGTATCTGCTCTGCCTGGCTCGCTCGTAAGTTGGAAATTGTGTCTGAGTCTTGAGGTTAACGACGAAGATGCAATACTATGAACGCCAACCGAGGGCTTTGTGGTACCACCTCGCAGTCGTGATCGACGCAGCAGGCTACTCTACTCAAGTACTCAAGGTAGCTAAAATACGAAACCCTTCTTTTCGACCCCTAATGGATTGTGAGAAGTTTACTTCCTTCGCATCTTTTCTTACAGGCCGGACGCTAATTCATCGCCTACACGATAAGCTCCCTCCCATAAACACCGCGCGGGCGCATCATGCAGTGTGTGTGTATCCACGGAAACGCGCTGAGATGATGGTGGACGGCTGCCCAGTCATGCAGGTTTGCACGATCGCAAGTCTCTGCGATTGCAAGAAGCAGCCAACTGTGATCATTGGCTTTCAGGACCGAGATGCCGCTCATGAAAAGGATCCACAGCGGCAGGGAGACATCGCCGGTCTGCGCGTCTACGTGCTTCGAGTGGAGCTTTCGAACGGCGTATCCTAAACGAGTACATAGAAGTGACGAACCGAAGTTTTCGCGGCAATAGTTGGGAAGCAGGCCGGTCATGAACGCCAGCATCGCAAGATGTGCTGCGTCGCCGTGGAGGCCTTCTGAAGCAAGAAGGGGCTGTCTGAGAGGTTCACCTTCCAAGAGACGGTAAAGGAGTGATATGAGCGTTTCTGTGTAGTCTAGAGGGTCGAGCTTGGATCGTCCGCTCTTCACCCTGTTGTTGAGGATGTCAGCGAATACGATGAGATCTAGCATGATGCGGGGCATCCCGGGGGGACAGGCGGAAAGCTGTGCCGCGACGGTGCTAGAGGGGCACAAGACAGTTGTTACAGGTACGTCGTGACTATCAAACATCGTGGGTGACCCGTTCTGCATGGCCAATTCAATATCGAGCCTACGGTTGGTCAGTATTCTTTGCTTCGGAGATTGAATGTCAGACTGGGAAGAGGCTGCATACCTGAGTGGCTTGAGGGCCAATGGACGGTTCTCCTTCATAAATCTGGCAATACCCCCGCGCAACCCAATCATTCGATGAAGCCCTCTGAGGTGTATGAGGCCAGTGGAGTGTTGCTGGTGTATTTGTTGGTAGATGGCGAGGGTGACGACGGCAGCAATTGCGCTGTCCGATATGGCATGCGGGCCTGAAAGTTTGAGGTTGACCAACGAGTAAGCCTGACATATATGATGTAGAGTCTTTGACGACATGGTAGGCTTTCGTTCAAAGAAGTCGACGTATGATGCCGACACGGCCAAGGTCGAGTGGAAATCTGTAGCAGCGGTGAGTTGAAATGACAATCCGCCTGCATGAGTTGCAGTTACTCACATGCTTCATCTACCAGTATGCAGTTGACCCAGATCGATTTCAAAATTTCGAACTTGTAGCAGAATTGGGGAGGAAACAGCGTGTCACTGATGTCAAGAACCCCTGGAAGGAGCAAGTCAGAGAATCTTCAAGATAGAAGTAAGGGTGGTGGTAGATGGGTTGGGTGAGCCGTACAGCGATGCATGAGCCTGGTGGAGTCAGAATCGAGCTCTTGCGGGAACGATGTCAGAGAGAAGTCATTCCAGAACACACGTCGCGGTATCTTCAGCTGACGCTTAACGGGGGTGCCGCTCGCCTGTCTTCGCGTTGAGGGTCGTGGTCTGCCGGCATTCTTGCCCCTCATGACATGAGAACGAAGGGCGCGGCGGTCGGATTTGCCTATCCCGGCCGCATTCTGTTCGATGAACACCAGCGCATGGCTCATTGTGGTCGCTCAAAGGGTCTGGTCGATGTCGGTACGGAAGATTACGGTGGGCGGGGTATCCTCTCTTTGAGCTCAGCTGTTGCTGTGCCTCTCTCCAACGGCATGGGATACGTATCTTCAGACCACGCTAGCCTAGAATGGGTGTTTCTGGTGCCAGATTTCATAGATATTAATGACATCTGCCTTTGAAAAGTTGGTCTGATTTGACATGTTCCGAGATACATGATTGCCGGCTGCTATGTCCCATACAGTACTGATTGGTCCTATCGGACAGCAATCGACATCCACAAATCAGCATCAGCATTCGAGGTTATGGATTGACATGAAGTGTCTATTAAAAGAAGTTGCATTCACTTGAACATCACTTGAACAGTAGATTAACAAGGGTATCTCATATTCCCTACAGCTTAGCCTCCTCAAAGACAATACCCAATCTACTAAATCTGAGAAATGCAGCCAGGCTGTACCTGTTCCAGCTTGGCAACGAGCTCGTTCCATATCGCCTTCTGCAAGCGCTGGCCCTCATCGTTGCAAAACCAGTCCGGCACCCAAAACTCCTTGATCTTACAGCCCGACAGAAGTTTTCCGTGACCATCCTCGCCAACCATCAGGCCGTGCAGGATAGTGCGACTGCCCACCTCCGCTGTGCGGGCCATCATGGCCCGGACTGTCTCATGCATGATCTTGGTGAATGTCCTCGCATCGCGTCCCAATCCGGTGGTGCAGAGACCAGGGGCGACCATGGTGATGACCACGCCGGTTCGTTCTACGGGAAACTGGGCCGCAAACTGACGGACGGCACATTCCTCGACGAGCTTCGTGAGAGCGTACCTGGTATGCCTTAGTCCCGTCGCAAGACGCTTGTTCTCTTCTGCTTCTCCGACGAACCTGGAGTCCATGTTTGCGCGCTTCGGGTCGTTGAGCCCGTCAAAGACGCTCCCGTTGCGGCTCTTGTCCATCTCCGCCTTGACGGTGTATCCCAGCACGCTGACGATGAAGAGGAGCGTAGGCTGAATGCCGAACTTGCGCGCGCTTTCGCTCAGCTTGGGCATCACCAAGGCTCCAAGAAACAATGTGTTGACGACGTTGACGAAGATGCTGCTCTCGACGCCTTCGAAAGTCGCCCACTGGTCGATCATGACGCCGGCGTTGCAGACGAAGCCGTCGATCCTGTCCAGCTCCTGAGAGATCTGCTTGGCGAAGACTTGGACGGCGGCATAGGTTGATAGATCCAGATGCCGCACCTTTGTGACGGGGGTTCTAATATCAGTCTGTTGTTCTCGGCCGCCGGTGTTCGGGCCAGATCAACGTTACCTGTATGACCCCCTTACGTCCCGTCGACTTCTCAATGTCTGCCTTGGCCACTTCTCCGGCATTGAGATTCCTCACGGCCAGGACAACTGTCGCGGCGGAGGCAGCGACCAGGTGCCGCGCAGTCTCCAGGCCCAGGCCGGAGTTGCCTCCGGTGATGACGTAGGTCTTTCCCACGCAAGTCGACTCGTCTACCAGGATGGGGAGCTTCCTGTACTGCTCTGCAGTCAGCCGTAGCATCACCATCTTTGCTGGTACTACGAGATACTGTAATTCTTTTGTGAAGAATTCAGGGAAAGCAGAGAAATTAGACTTTGAGATGAGTTCAAGAAGGGCGAAATATGAGGTTTTGGGTATGCCAGGAGACACAATGCCGGCGTTTTCACGACGCGGCATTCGTCCTTCTTATATTCCAAACAGGCAGCATTGTACGAGGTCTGCCAGGGACGAAGGAAGTGTTGAGGCTACGGCACGGCCTGGGAGCCATAACCGATCCAACGCGCGTGGGATCATTTTGATCAGTCTGATGGTGAGAATAAGCTAGAAGCGGCCACTCAAAGGGCCCAGATCTGATCTCGGCCATGTGGGGTTCTCTTCATGGCCAATCAGATATTGCTTTCTACTCTAGGACTAGCATAGTGGGACCCACCTCCAGCCCGAACCAATCAGATATTGATTGCCTCTTTAGGAAGGTGACGAGAAGCTACAAAGACGATGTCCCTTCATCCTCTCTCTCTCTCTATATATATATATATTTCTAATATCTAAGCAGCAATTCCTACTTATTACTGTGTTCCTCTTTGATCTATTATTCACTTTACAATGATAGGCTTTTCCTCGAGAGATTTTTCCTCGAGAGATTTCGAGTTTCATGTACTTCAGGCTCCCACAAAGTCATAAAGTATCGAGACCATTTCACTAACACAGCTGGCTCATAGGTAGTGTCAAGCATCAAATACCTCAAGCCAGCGCATACTTACAGAATCAACAATCAGCACCTTGCGGGCCTTGGAACACAACATTATCGAGTCTATTTCTATTCAAAGGATGTTCATAAGCAGGGTGGTGGAGATTGAGGCGAGTCGTTGCGGGTTGTAGCCGCCTCCACGACAGCCTCACCCCCTGCCTTCATAGTCAACTTGACGTCCTCAAATCAGCACATACGACCATACCCATTGGAAAACTCGGGATCCCGTCCGCTCTCCCATAGATAAGCTAATGAGGGCTGGAGTAGTAGTCGGGTCGGTGACGACCGGCGAATGCCCGGTGTTGTATGTTTTTTGCTTTCCTCCCTTTTGCGACCGCCAGCCATCATGAAGGGAGTGACCAAGAGGCTGGCTGACCAGAGACGCTCATTGGCATCTTAAGTATGTGTTGAAGCAAGCAGACTCATTATATTAGTAGTAATAATAATAATACATGCTTCCCCTGCCAGCCAGCTAGCAGTAGGAATGAAATGGGTAAACATGTGTGGAACAAAGTAAATTCCAAGAAAGAAGATGAGAAAACCCTCAGCCCAACCGACCACAGTCCCTTACGGCAGCAAGGCCGGCATGGCGATGGCGCTGGGGAGGTGAGGTGTGTGGCGGTTGTGATCAAATTGACGTTCATGTGTCAAGATAAATGTTCATGGAAAGAATCTGCATGCCAGAATAAGCCTCGTTACTTCCCCTAGGTGAACCATCCAACCATCCTTCTCCTTTAACAGCCAAAATTCTCGGCCGTTCTCCCTTGCAAGTCACCTCCGCTTGGCTGCTGTCGGAAATCTCCTGTACATTCCTCTCCTTGCTTACGCCAAGAGCTGAAGGACTTTGACTGAGACTCGATTAACTACCCACGACACTAGTATTTGGGTGGACTCTGACCATGGTTGCATGGATTCATAGATCTACTCGTGTGCTCATCACTTTAAGCTTTAAGCTTTCGAAACTAACGGTCCCTTCGAACACCTGCTCTGAGCACCAACATGAGGCGAGAGGTCCTCGCCTTCGCTTTGCTTGTGGCCATTGGCGCCAATGGCGCTAGCCCACCAGTCCGACGGCAAGCTAGCGATGCGCCAGTGCGCTTCTACTTAACGGTCAATCCAGTAATTTTCCCCACTGGAACCGCTGATCCAGCTCCAACCTCGAACGGCGGCGTGTCTCCGTCTTCACTGGCGGGCACATCGGCGGGGACATCGGCGGGGCCGTCGGCCGGGGTGCCGGCAGGATCACCAGCGGCATCAGCGGCAGGGTCGCCAACTAGAACCGCAGTAGGGTCAACGGCGGGGGTTTCCACGCCGACATCAGCGAGTTCTCTCGCGCTGTCTTCGATCGGAAATCCTACAACGAACCCTACAGCGAACCCTCCGGCGGTGTCCTCCTCATTGTCCACGCGCAGTCTTTCCAGTCTCAGCTTCACATTTTTTAACACCACATCTCCGTCTTTCACTAGTACTGTGGGCTTCAGTACCTCTCCCTCGAGAATTCCCACATCAACGGCGCCTATGCCAATACCCTCCGATCCTCTTCCTTCCAGTCTTATCAACTCGCTCATACCCTCCGATTCTCGTTCACCCACGTCGGTTCCCAGCTCTGAATTTCCCGCACAAGCTTCCACCGGCCCTTTCACTTCTGGAGGTAGCATACTCATATCACCAACGATCACTGGCCCTTCACCATCATCTCTTAGCTCGGGATCCACGTTTTCGGGTCTCTCAGGGTCCTCTTCACCATCCTCCTCAGCGTCAGCTTCGCCCACATTTGCTCCAGGTGAAGGGCCAGTTATCTTCCTTGTCCTTTCATCCAGTGGCAGCCAAAGGAAGAGAGACACCGCTGGCTTTCTTAGCACCGAGACCAGCGAGAAGCCGGACACGTGCGACCTTGCCACCCCGTTTGTTCTACTGTCTGGAGAACTTCTCATCCGAGGCGTTCCTGTTCATTATTCTCCTGGCGAGACTTTGAAGCCGCTCCTCAGGGGCGGTTCACCACCCCCGGGCGCCATAACAACCCGTTTCACACGCATGAACGGGGTCCTTGAGTTCGTCAACGCGTCTCTTCCTGGTGGACAAGCAACGTTCTGTCAAGATAGCAATACCAGAGAGGTTTTGCTCAATTTTGCATCTTCTCCAGCCAACTGTGAGCCGGCCGTCATCGTGGTCTATGGGGGTAAGCTGCACCAAGAAAACATTTTATGCTGCATGAAACTAAATCGCAACAACAGCCGAGCAATGCCAGAACAAACAGATTGTCTCCGCGGTCGTCCCCAGCATTCGTGGCAGCTCTTCAACTCAACTCGTCATTGGCCCTTCCTCCAGCCAATTGGTCACGCCTATTTCAATTCTTCCCACAACATCTCTGTCACAGCCTGCCATCCCATCTGGCGGCAGTCAGACAGGCACGGCTCCATTTTCCACTCCCGGAAGCAGTTCGGGATCGCCAACCTCATCAGCCACTCCGAGCTTCGACGCGCCGTGCGCCCCGCAAGCATCGACTTTGTTCGTACCTTCGCAAGACATTGATCTTGATAGGACATCGGCGGACAGACTTAACGCCGCCAACACCGTCTTTCTCAACTATGTCGAGGTTCCTGGGGATCGTGTGATGCAGATCGAGCTGTCTTTGAACTCTGCAGGGGTTTTGCTTGAAAACTCAAACCGCGTCACTTCCGTCGTCTGTCTAAATAGTACGACCTCAGAACCCTCGGAACTTACGCTGAACTTCCTCACCCCGGATGACGCCTCCAGATTTGCTTTGATTTTGAGCCAGTCACCCGGCTTGGTTCTAATCACCCAAAGCAATACTGGCTGCAGCCTCGATACAGCGCGAGGGTTCTGGGAGTTTGATTCGACAAAGAACTCACCTGCAACATCCACATCTCTCACAGTTCTCGCTAGGGAGCGAAAGATGGTTGAGGTTGCGAACAGGATCACGCTTCTCTATGGCAAGAGGGAAGGGATCAGTGGAAAGAGCTTCACCTCGACGGCCGCTGGTGTTTCTTCAGTGTCATTTCCACTCCCTGTGCCCGATTCGTCATGTGTTGTTTCGGCAACGCCTGAACCTTCGGGCCCGTTGGTATCCTCCGTCCCAGCTGGCCAATCTTCCTCCGTGTCTTCAACTGGCCAATTTTCTACTTCTCCCGTGGAACCATCACCTTCCTCATCCTCGCCTCCTGGACCTTCGTTGTCCCCCTCGCCAACTATTTCGGCGCCATTGGATTTACTGACTACATCATCGGTTTCTGATACATCATCCGGACAGTCATCATCAATCTCACCGAGTGAATCTTCGCTCTCAGCCTCGCTGACTGAAACTTCGTCTTTGGTTTCATCGACTGAGTCGTCTGCAACTTCATCGACCTCGGCCACTGCCAGTCCAACTGGTTACCGACCTCCTCCAGAAAGACTAGAAGACCTGACGCCGGGTGCGAGGGAGCTATACGACTACTTCCTCAATAGCATCCAAGTCGAGAACAACAACATAGCTTATCATGTCCCGGCTCTGAAGGGTAGCGATATTCCAGCCGCGCCCTACAATCCAGATGATTTGGCTGGGCAGCAAGCAGCCGAAGACGGCTTCACAGAAGCCGGACTTAGCAAACCTGCAGACTTGGCATCCAAGGCGACTGAAGGTCTGAATCAAATTGCTGCAAACGTTTGTCCGCCCAACTCCAACGCAACAATTGTCCGGCGAATGCTACTGGGACTGGACCAACGTGATGATCCTCAGGACACACCTGCATTGCGTGCTCACCGTTTGGCTGACTGGCTGAACAAAAGACTGGAAGCACGCGCGGTTGATGGTTGGGACATCGCCTGCGACGACACTGTGGGAGAGCTGGTTGGTCTCATTCCTGGGGGCGACCTTCTTGGTTTGGTGTGCGCCGGAAAGTCAATCTACGATGCCCGCGACGCGATCAAGTGTCTTTTTGGAGGTTGCCAAACCGTCACGTACATCGTCACCAAGACGATGACATACGACTTCAATTACTCATGGTTGATAACCTACCCAACAATCTCACAGGCTGTGACATACGGTGGAGGCAACAAAGTCTTGTCCTGTGTCAATTGTGGCTTCTCAATATCTTCCATCTCATTCATCGGCAAGATCATTGTAGTCATCACCAACGGCGTAGTCCAAATTCAGCAAGCTGACGTTACGCCCGGGATATCCGGTGTTGCGAATGCGGTTGTTCGGCTTCAGTCAGACGGGCCGTGGAACGGGATATGGAATTACAACTATAAACCAGTGGACCTTGGCCCTATCAAGATGGATGGTGCATTCCGGATCAACCCTGCCGTCCTCTACAGCATCGGCATCGAGTACTCCACGGACTCGAGCGTCGACATCACAGGCGGAGCTCGCTTCACTTGGGCTAATGCCGCCGCCACCGTAAATATTCTCCAGAGCAGGGTGACAACGCAGAGGAACTGGAAACCGACTGTCGAGTTCACCTTTCCCTCGTTCCGGCAGGGTTCTGCGGTCAAGCTGAAGCCGTTCATACGATGGGTCATCAAAATGGAGATCGATATTTATGACATGATCAAGCTCAAACCGTTCGTCACAGATCAGACTGTAGCTGGTATTGAATCGACATATTCTTTCACCACCACATCAAACTGCCCGGCAAACCAACTAGCCGTCAACAATTACGTGTACAGCGCCAACACTATTGGCTTCGGCACTGGAAGAAGCGCAGTGCTGTTCGACGGAACGGCGGGCAGCGCCAAGCAATGCTTACTTGTGCCAGGAATCACCCCCTCGCCCGATGAGCTGGCATCACTGAGGCTGGTTGGCCAGGCCTTCTGCACGGAGTACATCAATTATAGACCACCCTCGACTTTCACCTACACTACTCAGACATCCACCGTCCCCACCACCACCACGACATTTGTGACCACCACTGTCTTCACCACCGCGACGGTTACCGAGTATAAGAGCGTAAGTCTCGACAGTTACTTCACACGGACGTTCGCTGCACAAACGACGACCGTCACGGATACCTCAAAAGCCGTGAACTTCTTGTACTTGAACTACAAGCGAGGTTCAGAGAATACACCCACGACAACAGCGGACGGCATAGACAAGCGCGCTGTTCCCTCGCCTGCCTTGGTGAGAACCTGGGACGCAACTAAGATCTCCTTCGCATGCAAGCAAATTGCCACTGGTACAACGACTCTCACCGTCACAGCCACGACGACTGCAACGGCCGGAACGGTCACCGTAACTGGCACTGTTACACGAAATCAGCAAGCCCCGTTCGTGACTGTCACGTATACGTCCACCTTCAGACGCTACCTCGGCATTGCGACAGCTACGGCCGCAACTGTTGCCACGGAAACTGCCTGTCCGCCATCCACCGTGAACAAGTGCTTCAAACTCAAGATTCATGGCCATCCTTGGACGGAGGGCAGGTACATCCGCTGGGCACCGACATGGCAGAACAGCGGGTGGCTAGAGCCCGACTCCCAGTATGGCACCAACGAAATATTCTATCTAACTACGCAAGGACATCTTGTTTCCACCGTATACCCCGGGCCCCAAGCGTACATTCTCGGCACACCAGGTACTAATGCCAATGCCAACGATTGGGGCGAGGTGTTGTTTTTGTGGTCGAACCAAGGCGTCTGGCCTCAGCGTCAATACGCCAAATGCGCCAAGGACTCTGATCCGTGTTCCAACGGATTCTCCTGTTCGATCATTGACGATATTGGCGTGCAAAGATTCCAGATGTCAATTCGGGTTCCAACGTTCCTTTTGAATGGGGGTGGATCGTATGACGAAAGTTCGAGGTTCACTCCTTCCTGGCATAGGAGGCCCGACACCGCGGTCTTTCAGTACCTTCCGGTCACCTTGACATATGAGGACGTAGCTTGTCCATGCTATTGAAGCATATTATGAAGCTTCAAGATTGCGAGAGTGGTCTGTGGTTTTACTTCTCACAATAATTTAAACTCTGTTCATGCCTTAAACTGATCGCGGATACCTGAGCCACACAGATACTTTCGTGACGTTGCTGGCAAGGATCTGAAAGAGGTCTGGAAAGGGCTTTGCAAGGAGCACAATGCAGCTGAAAATATATGCTAAGATTTTCCAGGGCATTATCTGCTCAGCTCAGAAGTTGGGTGGAGTCATCATAGATTGACGGAATTCACTCTAAGGGCATGTCCAGGACGCTTCCCACAAGTCTCCGCGTAGCGACAAGCATTGAGTCCAAATCCTCTTCTAAGGCATCATACCTCTCCCTTCTCAACCTCCACTTCTCACTGCCAACCCAACTCTCTATACATACTGATCGGTCCTGACAATATGTCGTAATCTGATCAGGATCCGTACGCTTATCGGTCTCTTGATTGTCCTCGACAATAAACTGGATGTACATGTCCTGCATGTCATAACTCAAGTCGATGTTGGACTTGACGTGGTCCGTTACCTCGGTAATTATCTCATCAGCCACATCTGCACGCTGTGGGGATTCAGGACGGGTAGTTTCTGAAGGCTCTTGGCCGGGTTCGACATAGCCTTCTGGAGTCCCTTGGTCAACCTTCTCTAACGCGTCGTGGAAATTACCGAAAGTATAGATCATACAAACACCGTGGTGCGCGACGCCTTGCAAGGGGCCCGGGAAAGGGTTGCCGAACTCGATGTTGTACGTCTGCACACCCACGCGTCTCGGGTCCTGCCCACGCAGGACTGCCTGCTTCTTCCGATAGGTCTTGAAGAATTCGGCGGCGCGGTGGACCTTATACGCCATCGTGGCATCGGAAATGAACTGAACGAACCCGTCAAAGAGCTCCTTATGGGAAGATGTGGGGAGGATGCCGTATGCTCGAAGAACGTTTTCAGCTGCAGCATCCGAGGGATAGCTGGATGAAAGAACGGCGCGGAATTTGGCGTAGTTCCAGTTGGCCATACGGGCAAAACCCTCAAACTCGCGAGCCGTCGCGCTTACCATGATTTGTATTTTTCCGTCGGCGGCCTTGGCTGGGCCATTTGCCTCGCCATGTCCAAGGTGGACAGAGACGTCACATCCCAAGCTGCTTCTTCGGATTGTTAAATTGTCGACGACCATTGCGAAGAACCACCAGTGTAGGTCCGAGACACTCTGTAGTAGATCTGTCACAGGGACTTTCTTCAACGCGTCAAGTCGGTCGACGGGACTTTCGTCCTCGACTGAACGCAGTCGGCACAGCTCCGCCCAGCGCTTGTCCGCCATCTTGAGCGAAATGGAATCGAGACTGCCCCATGCGCCTGATATGAGACCAGCCTTGCGGAAGAGCGGCTTGCTCACGCCCAATTCGGCCTCGAGGAGATGAGTGTGACATGATCCTGCGCCAGCGGACTGGCCCATAATCGTGACTTTCGCCTCATTCCCTCCAAATGCGGCAATGTTGCGGTTAACCCAGATCAGGGCGAGCCTCTGATCATGAAGACCAAAGTTTACGCCCTTGAGAGCAGCGTCACTGTCTTGTGACGCGATCATGTCAGACGACGCGCCGAATCCAAATATGCCTAAACGATAATTGATGGCTACCGCAATGAACGGGGTCTTTTTCGAGAGAGAGCGGAGAATGAGCCGGGCGGGATCTGAATATTGTGAGCTTAATACTTTCCTCGTCTCATCACGGGAATCCGCTATTAAACTCATGATCCAGTCATGACGAGACATACCAAATTCTGGACTCGTTGCTGCGCCATTTATGTAGCCGCCGCCATGAATCCAAATGAGCACTGGCAGCTTGGTCACCTCTACGTCTTCATCGCATCTTGCCAGTGCTTCCTTGCTCGGGCGCATGATAAGAAGGTTCAAGCACTCAAACTCGTCCTGGCGGTCGTTTGGGTACGGCAGGTATGATTGAAATGCGCGAGAATCGAGTGCGCCGGCTGAGGGACATCGAGGGCTAAGAGATTGTTAGAATTGTCCATACTGCGTCTATATTGTATATGTGGACGCCTGCGAATGATACAAGATTACCCGTTCTCTGTAGCGTCAAACGTGTCATGGGGTAGACAATCTCTCAGGCGTGAGTGCTCCCATCTTCCCGGCACACGGGCGTATGGAATACCGCGAAACTCTTCAATGTCGTTGGAGATAGGCGACCGCTTGCCGATGATAGTTTGAGCATAGCTGGGAACGGTGGTTGTCTGGATCTGTACAGTAACAGCTTGTTCGGATTCCAAGGGACTCATTGTGATACTGCAAGTGCAATGCAGGGCGCCAAGAGAGGACGGCTATACAAGATAATAGAGCTGTTGGCTAGATTGCAGTTATTCATGAGAACAACGGAATACGGATCAGCTGTGAAGGATGTGGCATGGCTTGGTCCGGATCTGTCGACCGCGATTCGACGTCACTAGGATTCTCCCATCTAAAAACCGCTCATTTAATAGTTAATTCAAATCGGTCCCGAACCCCGCATTATCCGGACCCCCGGCGGCACTGTCATCCGAGCCGTGGAGCTCGGTCGGCGTCGGGATCTCCGCAGACTCGGCCGCAGCGACAGTACAAAGACATAAGTCTGCGGGTCAATGGTTGAAATCATACATATACGAACAGAGACCTATGAGGTAGTCCGAGATTCCCTCGGCTCTCGTACTACCCGTAAAAGCTAGAGAGGCTATAATTAATTTAGAGGCTCATGGAGTCTTGATCATACTTACATCTATGATAATTACTACTATAGATAAATTAGAGATATCTAGATTAAAAGAGAACATCGCTATTGAGGCATCTTATGGCGGCAATGCTGAGGTGGTGCAATTGCCGATTTGGTAGTTGCCCAAACCGCAGAAGTCGATGCTGGTACCGCACTCGTCGTCAATGGGCACAGTGAGATTCATGCATAGAATGAAAGATCCCCAGACTATGGTAGGAAGGTTCTCACTGGAGGAAGTGCATACGTTTTCACTTTGAACGTCCGTCAGGGCAAACGGGAACTCTTCGTGATCAGAGTCGAGGGTCTGGTCTGAAAGAGTTGGACAATTATGGCTCGACGTGATCATAAATCGTTGGTGGTGAGGGTGACCTGAACCTAGCCTCAACTATCGGACTGGTGACAAGCTCGGGAGAAAAGATAGTTGTTGATTTTCTTCACTATATATAATAATCCAAAGGTAAGCATTGAAGTGTAATCTCTTCGTCTGGCCCTCGTCGACTTGCTCCCTCGTTCAGTTGTCTACTCGTTCAGTTACCGTGTCTTTTGTTTGGCGACTTGAGTTGCCAGAAACCTGCCATCAATATGGCTTCGGTGAAGTTCGTTCTTCGCCTCATTCTGATTACTCTTACCCTCCCGCTCTTTTACCCCAAAGACAAATCTAGGTTCTTAGACAGTTTATCCAGAATTATCAACTCATTCATACCAACCAAAATAACTAGTCGTTACATGAAACATTCTTACAGTAAGGAGCGCAATAAGTCCTATTACTGACTAATTCATCGGAGAATAGTGCGCTTCGGTACTAGGTAGTAATTGAACTCACACTAGCTTGAGTTCGGTGCTGCAGTCATAAGCATCGCAAAGGCGTGTTGGTTTTCTCATCCCTAGAGCAGGAGATAACTATGTACTACTCGTTGAAGAACGAATAATATCTGTGAAGCCTAGTGTGTTGTATTTGGTCCATCTAAGGCTCCTCCACTGCACAAAAGTAAGAAGGGGCAAGTGTTGACTTCGAGTTTCTTGCATAAGGCTTCGAAAACAGCCCTGATGGCCTTGGAAGCCAGAAATCGACCAAAACCGGGGCGTTGGGGGCTCGTCTTGATAGCGACATCTGGTGATATTATTTGAGGCACAGTGTCTTCAGAGATATAGACTCAGGCTGCAGCAAGGAGACATCTTACTCTGGTCACGACGAGAAGTGAGTCTCACCCCGAAACAGCACGCCCTGAAGCGTTCGCATTGACAGACAGTCTCACACAATAGAAGAGGTAACCAACAATTTCCGATGGGCAGTTGTTTCTTTAACATTGAAACACACCATACATGTGTTTCCGATCTCATCTGTGCATCGTCAGTAGGATATAAAAAGCAAATATCTCTGGCTTCAGGGGTACGGTTCGCCAGGGCCTCATCCGAGAAGCCACTCCGCGCCAAGCCAACCACCACTGTCTAGAAGCCGCATCGAATCAACGATACATCTGCCATCTCCCGCTGACATACAACGTTCCCTCTTGTCACGTCGCTTCCTCGACCAACCAATCTTTCCGGGGGCAGCCGCAGTTCCCTCTCCAAGCCATCCCGTGGCTTCCTCCCATGGGAGAAAAAGCAACTCCCGAAGAGTCTAGACCCCCAAGCCACCCGCTTCTTCTGCCGGAACCCGTTCCCCGGCGTGGAGTCACACAAAGGCACGCATTGCCTCGAAGGAAACACGCATGAGGTTCCATACAGCGGCGTCATCCACTCGGAAGGGCAGACGGGAGGCTGCAGAGCATAAGAAAGCCTAATTCCGACCTTTTTCGCGCCCAAGATCTACTGGTGGGGGATGGACACATAAATACAGAGAGAGATTTACATGTACGCACGGCATGTTGAGAAGTACGGCATCTTGGATCCGTGAGCTCGCAGGGGTCGGCGTCCTACGAGGAGACACGAAGAGATACAGATGATCGTGAGTGAGACATGTGATGGTTAATAACTGATGACACCAGAGACAATCTTAAATTGAATGAATCCACGTGGTAGAGTGTAGAAGCCGAGACGTCTGGGATTGTCGTAAATGTTGTGTCAAGCCGGCAACATGGCTTCGTTGACACAGCGAACTGCACAAATCAAATTCCCAGAACACCGCCATGTATTACAAAACCAGTTCCAAGAGACAGAAGAATTCCACAGACTTGTGTTGAAGTGATCTCACACAGTTGAGCTTTGTGATGTCTCTAGGACTTTTAAGAAAGGTATATTTATTTCTTGTGAGGCTAAATAAGATCTGCAAACAACAAGATTGAGAAGGGGTAATCTTCGCAACAGCGCATAACACACATTTGAAAACGATATTTAATTCGTATTAGAGTTTAGCAACTAGTCTACGGACTAGAACAGCGAAATGGGTCAGTTCGAACCGACAACCGCTTCAACTTACTGCCTCCCAGAGACAATGGCCACGACAACTCTCTGCATCAAGAGAGGTGCGCTTCATCCCACGATCTTGTCCAAGACCGCAAGCTTCACATGATAATGCAGTCATCGTCATTGTCCATCTCTCAACCGCGACCCATCCAGAGTTCCAACATATGCCGCGTGATCGTCACTTCCCTCGAGTCAAGCGCTGCTCAACTTCAACAACTGACACGGGGACGGGAAGAGAACCCGCAGCATAGCATCATCGTCAACAACAACCAAACCCCCAACGTCATCTTGCATACTGACAGAAAATACCACAAGTCAGTTCGTCCTTTAGTCAGTAGTACTCCGTCACGTCAACTATTGCCGGCCGAGAAAGAAAAACGACAAGGCCGAGTAAGGAAAGGCAAAACTGTCCGTACTAAACAAACGCCACCACGGCAACGGGAACACATGCCATCCTCCCCCGTCTCTCTCTCTCACAACTGACTAAGGTCGACGTTCGATATCATGGACTGCAATGCGGTCAAACACACACACCACAGACCAAGCCCCATCCATGGCCCGACAAGTCCAATACCCGTCCCTTCGCAAGCAGCGCAACATACCCCGAGCCGAGAGAGTCCTCCTCGCTCCCCCAAATCCCGCTCCGAGCTCTATGCGCCTGCTCGCTCGCCCACAATCCGATCCCAGTAAGATCCAAGAAAGATCCAAGGCAAACATCAGATCACCAAGGGCCCGAGTCAAACACAAAAAAAGAAGAGAGCAAAGACACTTTAACGTCCACCTACACACACGCACACGCACATACGGGCTGGCAAATCAAAAAAGAACAAGAACAAAACAGAATTCCAGCTTGCACGCGCCAAGTCCACACGGACATACCAGCCGCAGGCACGGAAGATCCGAATAAACTCCAACTCAACCAACTGCCTTTCGTCCCTTCCTTCCGGACCTATCACGGCATCCCCAACCACAAACTTTTTGGTCTTTGCTCGCAATTCATGAGGCGAAAGACCAACACCAACAACAACGACAACAACCAACTGGAAGAAAAGCAGCTTCATTCAATGCCTCTTCCTACTTCCTCCGCACGGAACCTCTGCCGCAAAACTCGGTCCTCGTCCGTCGTGTCCGCCTCACTCCAGCTGAAAAAGAATACATACACACTTACACACGTACACACACCTTAAAAAGAATCCTCGGACTAACACCTCAACACAGCAACAGCAGTAAACCAGCCCAGAGTCAGAGTCAGGTCCCCTTGGTGGCCCCGATACCATTTTGCCCTGTTTTTTCTTCCTATCCGTCCGTGATTCCCGAGAACACCGTTCTAGAAGTGCAAGATTCAAACTCTATGTGCAGATCATACACACGCCGAGGACACGACGACAGGGCGCCCGGTTTGTTAGGCCCTTTGCCCCCC